TTAAAATTTTCCAAATTTTGAAGATCTGTGATAATAACTGTTACAGGTCACTATGAATTGCAAATGTTAAATCCTTCACTGAACATCCCCCAAAGAAGCGTTATTGTTTATTAGAAATCCATAAGGAAAAATGTACCTCAAATGGCAGTCAATCTTCAAGAAAGGCCTATAAATGTGACGTTGAATAACAGCTCATGCTAGGAATACTATTTTTCAGCTGGTTATGACCGTTACTTCATCAATATACTATTATAAAGGCCTGTACTTTGATCAGTCTGTTTACCGGTCCATTTTGCAGTGAATTGTATATATTCCTTTCGAGATTTTTTCTAATGTATATTTTTTGTAACTGCAAATAAATGCTATTATTATCATTTCTATTATTATATCTGTAGATTTTGCAGAAAAGACGACAAATTCCGCTGATACGCTGAACGTCCCTTGTATCTACACATAATTGCCGCACTTCAATTTAACAATGCAATAACTTTATAAAACGGTTCGATGTCTGGTGCCTGGTAGCCTGGTAATGCGACGTCGCATTATGCGTTGTTTACCATCGGAATTGTCGGATTATTTCGATGAGCCCGTTTAGAGAGCATTATCCTGATGGCGTAAATGTCCGACCAGAACGATTAAAAATCCACCGGGTATTGCGCAACTACCGCTAACTGTCAGCTGGTAATGCTAAACTTTAGCAAAGGCTAAACATTGCTAATGCTCGCTGACTGTTTCTGTGTTAAGCTGGAGGTTTAAGCAATAGTTAGAACGGAGTATGTGGAATATTATAGGCCGTTCTTTAATTGTGGCATACATTTCGCATCCAAAATTTCACAGAGAACCTGAAGGGCACTAAAGTTCATCCTGATGACATTCGTAGAGCGACGAATCTCATCCATGAAGTAAGAAATGCACTCCATGAATTCCGCAATGAGCAGTGGAGCGACTTTCTGGCGGGGATGCTTGAATCAAGTATTCCTCTCTGGAAAGTGGCAAAACCGCTCAGAAACAGAAGGCAAGAACAACTACCACATATTCATGGTCCTGGAGGCATAGTTTTTAGGACTAAGGATAAAGTGGAGGTTTTGCTGACGTCATGGAAAGGCAGTTCTCTTCCAATTATGATCTGGACAATGACCTTGACGAGGAACGACAAATTGTAAGATCTGTCAGGAGATACTTCAGTGCGAATGGCGATACCATCATCGGTGCTAGCATCGGTGACTCCTTCCAGAAGATTCTTCTGCGGAAGACTCTTCAAATGAATCTCAGCATCGCACATCAACGGAATCCTCTGAGATTCCGTTTTGCACAAGAGCACAGCTCCAAGGCCACATTAAGAACCTAAAGGTGCGTAGAGCACCTGGAGAGGTTCAAATCACCAACAAAGCACTGAAGTTGCTTTCACTCAAGGTTTTGACTTATCTGGTAGCAATAATCAATGCAATGCTCAGAACTCATTACTTCCTAAGGCGTGGAAGGTCGCTGAAGTCATCATGATCCCAAAGAAGGCAGGTTCGATATTCGCCCAGGATTACCGTCCCATTAGTCTGCTGTCAGCTCCTTCTAAGCTCGCTGAAAAGGTGATTTTTTTCGTCACCTTGAGAATTTTTCGTCAGATCACCATGTGATTCCTGAGGTGCAATTCGGCTTTCGGTCTGAGCATAGTACGGAACTATAGGCAGTTAGACTGGTGGAGCATGTAACCAGGGGGTTCATCCTGAACAAAAGTACTGGTATCTTGCTTTTAGATGTATCAAAGACATTTGACAAGGTGTGGCACATGGGCCTCTTGTATAGCTCATCCAAAAGGGTTTTCCATTTGGCTACTAAAACTGTTGAAATCTTTTCTAGAAGGAAGGAAGTTTCGGATCAAAATTAACAATGTGTTGTCAACAACACGGCCCGGAAGAGCCGGTGTTCCTCAGGGTTCGGTCTTAGGACCAATCCTTTATTCACTTTATATACATGACGTCCCTAGCCCCAGCAACTGTGAAGTCTATCTTGTAACTTGTTCTGGTAACCGGGTGGAGGAAGTATTGGAGTGGGCGGATCGGAGGTTGATCAAAATTAATACTTTGAAAACGCAGGCAATCTATTGTACTAAAAAACGTGGCGGTGCCCCCTCAGGGAGCAATCTGTCAGGTATCTTGGAGTCATCATTGACAAGGGGTTGACCTGGCAGAAACATACTGATATTTTGAAAACAAAATTCCAAATTACCTTTCGGCAGCTTTATCCTTTGTTGTGCAGAAATTCAAAATTAAGTTTGATCAACAAGATTCGGTTGTATAAAATGGTCATAAGACCCGCAATCACCTACGCATGCGCGGCTTGATGTTTTCTTGCCAAGATGCACATGCAGATACTGCAAGTCCTGCAAAACAGAACCCTACGCATAATTACTAACGACCCTTGGTACGTGTCAAATGAGACTATTCACAGAGATCTTGTTATCCCTTATCTAAGGGACTACGTAAAACAACAGGCGCAGCGGCGTTATAATCAAGCGGAATCGCACAGCAACCCTCTGTTGCGTGATTCAGTAGACTACACAGTCGACCAAGTTCGCAAACAATCCAGGCCGCGCCTCGCACTGTGATCAAAATTAAATTGTAAATTCAGACCAGCCAAAATTATTTCAGTATACAAAACCGATCAAAATTATTTTTTGGAGTTACAAAATAATTCGAGTAGTCAAAGCAATAATGATTAAGCTATTTCAAATAATATACTTCTTTTCTTTGTTCCATTTCTTCCTTCCTTTCTTTCCCTTTTCCCCTTAAACATGTTTGGTATCTGGGTAGCCAGACCTGACAGACTAACAGATTGACGAGACTTTTAACTAAGAGCAAAGGTCCACCGGACCGCTCTGACGAATAATGACGAATAGTATTGCACTAAGGTCAGAAGTTTTCTCGTGCCTTGAAGATACCAGGGATATGGACTTAGATAACTACTAGACGGCTTTAAATTATTGGAAAGAAAACATAACTAGAATTATTCGATTTTTTACTTTTCCAGCTACAAAGTTCCTCCTCTAAACAAAAAATACTTTGAGGTTGAACGCTTTGGGGGGTCCTAGACATTTACAAACATTCATCTACATATCCATGGTCCTGTCAGCGATATACTACGAAATAAATCATTCTCAAGAGAATTCCAGTTTTAATCTCGTATTTAGTCAAAAAACCTAAATCTGAATGTTTTATTTACTTACACCATTCTTAATAGTCGTATCTTCTGCTGTTTTAACCATATCGTCCAAAAATTCTTTAGATTTCTGTGTCCAGGTCCGGAATTCTACGAGTATGCATATATTTTACAAGAATTTATATTTTCTTATCTTGTACTTCAAAATAATGGAGTTCAGTAGATTGACTCAGTATCTCCCAAGCATAATACGAATCCAACAAAAAAATATATTTCTCAATTGCTGTTGAAGCTGTATGCTATATCAAAATCACAGGTAGGTTCGGAGGAATATTAAAAAATGGTGCAAAGTGAAATGACTTCTGTTAACTACGCCGCAAAATTAAGCGAAGACTAGAAAAGTATTGAAGAACGAATTTTGTACTCCTCATAATCTTGACGCGCTGAAAATAATTTTTGCTATGCCAAATATTAAAAGAAAGAGTTTCTGGACGATTTGATACTTTCTTTTGCTTTTGTTAATAACATCGATGCCACTACCAATTGTCAAAAATGAACGTTACCGCATATAACCCAGCATATCTGTCTCTGGAATTTGTAAAAATCGGTATAACCATTTCCGAGGTTATGAGGGTTGTTTCAACAGCCGACCAAATAGACCGATGGATATATGAATGACATGGAAAGAAGAGAATACGTATCGCTTATGCATTGGAAGTGAAACAAGATTTTTAGGAAATTCAAGTACCCAAATTCTAATTGATAGTTGCAGTTTGAAGAATGTGTGGTAGAAAACTCTTTGGGTTTTGTCTATAATCTAAAATTGTAAGAAAAATGAGAATCGTCGAAAAGGAGGTTTGGTTTCCTTTTCACTATTCAAAATAACCTTCTTAATATGTCCAAAAATTAAAAACTCGGAAGGAATATACAGAAACTGAAAAAAGTTTTTGGAATTTCTACTTTGTTTCTGCTGTTAGTTCAGTCTGTGTGTAAGTTATGTATTAAATAATATAATAATTTGTACAAAGTAATGTCAGAATTTTCAATTTTGCAAAAATGGCGTCAAGAAAGAAGGTTGACTCTGCACTTCCTATGCAACGCGCGCATCAGTTCATAAAGAATTATATTGGACACAAGTTGGCCCCTCTGAGAAAAAGGGTTAGTTACAAACATGTATAACAAGGAAATTAAACGGATCAAGTTAGTCAAAGAGACTCTTACAATTAAAATTTGCAAATTTACCACATTTTTTGTACAATTTAGGGGCTCTTTAGGATTTGGCTTCCTGAGAAAATTTGTTTTTCCTCGATCATCAAAAATATTTGAAGGCAGTTACGCTTCCACACAAAAGTTATTTCTTGCCCTTGAATGACCCTCCCCTTTCCCATGAAAAAAGTCCCTGCTGGCGCATGTGATCGAAATAATGTGTGCATCAGGCGTGGATGACGTTCGATCTAGTCTCTTAATTTTTTTTTCAAAAGTGTTCAGGTTCCAGTGAAATGCCAAACAACGAAGTTTAAGCGATTTATACTTTTTTGCATCTAGTTTCGCTGCTACTGGATCGATTTTTATAAGTTTTCTCGTTCTTGCCTAGTATTGACATTGCGACAGACCGATAGACATACAAATACACAGAAATTAGAAACATGATTTCGCGTTGTACATGTCATATAACAACCAAAAAACATATCTCATTTTCCAAATTTCTCGCGGTTACAATACTTCGGTAGGAAGTAAAATGACAAAGGATATCTCTTCTTCAGATCTACACCTATGTTACGAGGGATGTCTTTTAAGTTTTGCATATGGAAATAAAACAACACGGTAGGTAGCTTTAAATGACTTTATTATTTTGCGAAGTATTCTCCACAAAGATTAATACACATCTGCATGCGCTCGAACCAATTTTCGAAGCACTTATTCCACTCGTTTGCTGGCAGATCCAAAACGGCATTTTTGAATGCGTCAACTGCTTCTTCTGGTGACTGGAACCTTTGACCACGCAGTCTGTTTTTAATTTTCGGGAAAGTAAAGAAATCGTTAGGACTTAGATCGGGACTATACGGAGGATGGTCCAATAATGCCACGTTCTCTTCCGTTAAATACTGCCTTTTTATTTTAGCTGTGTGCGAGCTTGCATTATCTTGGTGGAGGACGATTCTTCTTTCGCGGTTGATTTTTCAAAGCTCGGTGATGACTTTTGGCAAACAAATGGTGGTATACTAATCCGCAGTAACAGTTTTTTGCTCATTGAGAGGAATTGTTGCAAAATGACCCGCTTTTGACACAAATGTCGCGACCATCTTTTTCGAAACACTTCGAGAACGGATGACTTTTGTTGTCTTTTCTTCACCTTGGAACACCCAAACAGCCGACTGTCGTTTATTTTCGGGTTCATAACCGTAAATCCACAATTCATCACCACTAACAACGCTGTACATATTTTTTGAGTTTTCGGAATTGAAACGATCAAGCGTTTTTTGACACCGATTAACCCTGGCTGCTTTCTGCTCTTCAGTCAACAGGTAGGGTATCCAACGAGAAACTAATTTTATTACTCCTAATTCTTCATGTAAAATTTTTTGAATTGAGGTCTTTGAGATCTTCAAGGAGGCCTCAATCTCGCGATATGTCACATGTCTATCTTCAATGATGAGTTTGCGCACAGCATCGACGTTTTCCTGGGTGACTGCCGTTTTTGGTGCACCCACCCCGGGAATGTCGCTAAGACTCACCCGTCCACGTTTGAATTCTACATACCAACGGGAAATTGTCGACTGATGTGGCGCTTCGTTGCCGAAAACAGACAGTAACTCAGCAAGGCATTCTTGATGCGATAATTGTCTCTGAAAGTTGTAATAAATTATGGCGCGAAAATGTTCTCGGTTGAGTTCCATTTTTCTATTGACTTGGTGACACTTAAAAATTCACTGTAGTGAGAACACTGCACGTATTGTTGTGAAACTTTGAATTTAAGTTTACTTAAGAGTGAGGTTAAGATTCAGTACTGACGTTCGATCCGCGCGGCCTACTATGTTTCTATAAGCAAAACTTAAAAGACATCCCTCGTATATGTGTGTTATGCAGCGTCAAGAAAATATAATAACATAATTGTAATTTACCGCGATGACATAACTTTCTCCAAGAGACAAAATTCATAATAACTCTAAGGCACCAACCCTAGTAAAAAACTAATTCCAACCCTGTCTTGGTGATCCAGAGAGCATCTAGTGTTTGTTCAGCTAGTGAGCGGTTAGATCAAGAGGCCGTAGGCATACAGAGAAACATGTGTAAACAACTGAGGATCGAGACAGATAACTGTGGTTGTTCACCCTCTTCACCTACAAGAAGATAAGGCCAAAAACACGGAACACAAAAAACTATACTGTGATGTTTGTATTCCGTGTACCGATTGATCTATGCCGAGGAAGCAATCAATCAAACAGTCGGTGAATGAGTGGCTTGTAGATACAAATGTTTTCGTGTGTGTTTTGATGTGAATGAGGTGGATTTTAGTATTTGTTCTTTGTATGAACGTAGATTAAAAATTGATATATTCGGTAAGCTGCGGCTTGCTTTTACAGTGATTCACATTCTTACTTTTCCATACCGTGTTTTATACCTATGCTGTATTGTTCTCGCATCATATCTTGATTAATGATTACTGTTGTTCGCATTACGCCAAATTACATCGTGTATCCAAATATGTCATTATAATGTATGTCATATCCCAACTAACAATTATCACTCCTATTAGAGTTGCAAGAATGATTATACAGAATTCCTTAAACAGTATTGTATACTGTAAGAACATTGGCAAAACCCTCTTGGGCACACCTAATAGGACACTTCAGTCATTTAAGAGGTTGTATAAGGGCTGCAGGTAACAGTTATAAAACAAAAGTGTAAGCCTCTTGCAGCCGCTATAGGACATTTGCGTCAGTGCAAGATCCAGTTTTTGTCAACTATACAACTATCATGTTACGTGATTCTACTTTATTGCAACCAAACTATTTCTTATGTATTGTATAGACGAAGTGAAGAATATATAACTAACACATTACAGTCATCTTGTTTACTTACATATCGGCCATTGTGAATTTCATACACAGGTATATGATAAACTTCTACACTGTGATATAGGGCTATTGAATTACTTGCGCAGCAAATTTTATTGTGATTATCGTGCAAATTAGTTACCCAATTTCTACGGGCTTCGTATTTGATTCATATTCTGACAATGATCAAAAGTATGTCTAGATTTTAAGATGGAAAACTGAACTTATCTGCGTTAAATCTTCCACAAATCCTATACTTAGACACAATTACACTAATGTTTATCACTTTATATCTGTAATTTCGAACTGAAACATAATTATTTAATATTAAATAGAGGAATAAATGTTTGCCCAATATGGCGGGTGGTTGTGTACAATCATGGCATCGTCCATGTTGTCTTTAGGTTATTAGAATATTTTGGTCTTCGCTGCAGGTGTTATACAACAATTTGACAAATGTCTGAAATGAAATACCGACAGAGTCGAATGATTTACCCAGAATTTGTACCAGTTATATATCTTCTGTTTGAACAGTTGATAAAACCTTTTGAACCAATATGCATGCGTTGTTTGTCTTAAAACATTGATTATGGCATTTTAGCATTTTACAAAAATATGACAGCAGAAAGTTAGGTTATGGTGAAGTTGTTTACCAACATATTTAGCATATGTACAGCCTTTAACAGTTACTAAACAACAGTTGTATAAGTGCTTCCGTTGGGAGCAATTTGTTGGCTAAAGTAGTAAATTGTACAGCAAAACAACAAGGCTCGGGTTTGTTTTATAAACGTTACCATGGATGCCACAACACAACCATTTTGACTAACGTGCAAACATGCCGTATAAAATAGTTGTATAAACGTTTGTGCAACAGTTAAAAAATTGCCCTATAAGGTGTTGTACGTATATAACTATGCTATAAGAATATTTCAAACACTTCATTTTAGAGCAAATATGTTGCAGAAAGCAAATCTGCATTCCGTACAACATTAAGCCAGCATTTTTGTGTTCAGGCAACAACAATATAGAACTTTTATGGCTGAACGGTTCTTTTACCAAAAGCTTATACCACTACTTTGCTAGTTGGGATGTAATAATTCGACCTGCCTTAGGATTAGTGTATTGCGATAAGGATGAAAGTCAAATTTCCAATTCTCGTAAGAAACTCAGTATTTTAACAAAATAGGCGAAAATCGGACTGTAATTGTACATCGGTTACCTATGTTGCAAGTAACTAGCTATTTCATCTACAAATGTTCGTTTAATGCAGCAAACACGTGCAAAGTCAGTCCTCCATAAATGAATGCAAAGCAAAAGCGGAATGTACTAATTACACACTATGAACTATCTAGGCAGCAAGTTGACATTTTGTTAGTTTTTTTGACATTTTTTGGATTTTTACGTAACAAACAATCCTTCAGGCATTTTTGTGATAATACCTAGATAGAATGAGAGGTAACTTAAGTACACAGTAAGTACAAGTAACAGTTCGGGCTGCCTTTGAGCCAATGGATGCACCTCCCAACCCCATTACCTCCCATAGGTCCAAATTGCCACATATTCCTTTATAAATATCATACTTTTTGTTGTCCCAGTTATACTTTCGAATGCCACTATTTGCAAGAAAGGAATTCCGATATACAGCCTGTCATACTGCTTGTGGTGTGAAATTCAAGTCTGAGAATTTATATGTTTGAGAAGACCCTCATTACAAGCTACAGTATTTGAAACAATATATAAAATTAGCCATCATCATTAATATAAATAAGTTGCATCTCACACAAGATGAATTATCTTATTTTACTACAGGTTTGCATGATGACCCGAACGGCTATCATGTAAAAAACCTACAAAACGTAAAAAAAAACCTATACGATGTCAACTTGCAGATTAGGTAGTTTTTAGGGCGCAAACAGTCATTCCACGTTTGCTCACTAGGATCTTTATGAACGTCCATCTATGAAGGAATCACTCAACTAAACTACACGCATCATTGGTTGCATAGTTTTGTGAGGCTGAGTGATCCGTGTCTGTAGTTTTTATCTCTGAGAAGAAAGTTGGTTGAATAACAAGATCGCACCTGGGTGATTATGTGTATTGGTCTGCATGTGTATAAAATTAGTGATATTTGCTGTGTGAGAAAATCATTACCGAATATGCTGAATATGACGGTGTATTTATATGTTGTGTTTTCTGAAGAGAGGTTATGTTCAAAGTTATAAATTACGAAAAACTGAGGAGAATTACGGGAAATTATCACCGCACCCGCGTTGTGTGTAATTACTGTTAGCATGTATATGGCTTGTAATTCGACAGTGTACAGTGAATATAATTATTTCTTATCTCTCTCATTTTTGAAATTCAGCAAATTTGTATATGTAATTTCCAGAATGGATAAGAAAAAGTGGATGCGCAAATAATTTCTAGCTTTGAATCTCAATTAAGTGTATTTGAGGCAAGAACCTAATGTAATTATCATCATCACATACAACTTACAGGTTAGACCTCCAATAATGCCATCTCAGAAGCAGAATTTACATCACAACAGAGCCAAAGACTGATAACAAGCCTCATGACGTTTAGGCAACACGTACAACTAAGTGCTAAGTCAACGTATTTGCGAAAAACCTACATAATGTCAAAAAAAAACAGCATAATGTCAAAAAAAATCGGTATAATGTCACTTTTCAAGATACGTGATACCCGTGCCGGGGTTTTGAGGAAAGACTTTTTAGAAGAGATACAGACCACAAATTTCGTTGTAATTGGTTGTCAAAATGACAGTAGGAATAAATATTAACAAAACGTTTGATGCCATATGTGGAAATCGTAATTTTTTATATCAGAAAATAGAAAATATGGATCTATTGTAACTTCCTGTTTACACTTCCTAAAATACTGTAGCTTCGATCCTCTGATCTCAACTTTATAGCCTTGATATGTAAGGTTTTGCCATGTAGCATTTTGCTTTTCGATTTGCGATCCTAAATATCTGGAACCTTACATAGTCTTCTTAGTGTTTCGTAGTAATACAAGATATGCACTGCGGTTTCTCCATGTTTTCTGTACAATCGGCATTGATGCGATGTACCTTTGTATAATTCGCACTACCTAGGAATGCTATTTTCCTAATAGACAGATGTTTTCTACGTTCATAATGACTTATATTTAATATTTGTTGAGGGAAATAAGTTGAAGAAGCTTGGAGATAACTTAAATTTTCTTACAACTCGTGACAGCACACCAGGGGTGCGTTTGTAAATCACTTGGAAATGTAATACCGTACACAGGAATGGAATGTAGATTGACAGATGAAACTTTACTCTGGAATACTGTGAAACTTCATTTTTAGAAAGCCTGATGTATGTCACTTTACGTCAGCCGTCTAATTTCTAACCACGTTGTTTGCGTCCATTGTAGTTATTATAAGATACCCTAGGGGTACGAGGTAGCATTTATCATGAAAAATATATATTCTGTTAATTTTGAGGAGGTTTTGATAATCAAATAAAATAAACAAACAATGAACCATGAGAATGACAAGTGACAGAACTCTTATTTCCAAGGTTTTGAGCTAGGGAAGAAAATCACACTTTTGACGGTACGTCAAAAAATTACGAACGCTAAAATTGTTACTAAGTAGTTCAAAGTAACGAATGTAGCCCAGTGCTGTATGAGAGATGACAGATACCTCACTAACTGAAAGTACAGAGCTCTCTTCACAAGTCACATATAGAGCTCTTCGTCATGTCTCCAATACATATAAGCTGTCACTAAATACGTGCGAGGCATTCAATCCCGTAAGCACTACATTTATTTTCCGTTGGTTCGGTTTGAAT